ACGGCACATAACAACAACCCAACCTAAATACACAAGAAAAAGTAACAAAACTTGACAATATCCCTGCTTTTCATGCATTTCAAAAAAAATTGTGAAATTGCATGTTGTGAAGAGGGACACATAGCCATTGATCCTCAGTAATTTGTAGCGCTCTCCTGTTGATCTGACCCATGTTTACAATGATAACATGTGATGCCTAGGTGCTATGTACAGGAATTGGTAACAGACTGTTCTTCTCTTTCCACAGTGCATATTTTCTTAGATCATGAAGTACTCACTAGCTACGTTTCCCTCTTTGAAGATCTGAGACAGAGACTCTTTAGTCGTGACTATCTGGAGGTGGACCACAAGCAGTCAAAATCTAAATATTTTCTTTCGTGGGGATCCCAGACCTTCACTTCTGGCAAATATTACTGGAATGTAGATGTGGGGCGCTGTTGGAACTGGTTTATTGGACTTTGTAATGATTCTTGGACGGGGAAGAACGACATGCTGGTTAACTCCCAGGGAATTTTTCTACTTTTTTGTGTCAAAGAGAACAATCAGTGCAATCTCTATACCTCTTCCCCACTCTTACCTCAGTATATAGAAAGACCTCTAGGGCTTGTAGGTGTCTTTCTGGACTATGAATGTGGCACAGTGAGCTTTATTGATGAGGCCAATAACACCCTGCTTTATAGTTTCCCTTCATGCTCCTTCTCATTCCCTCTCAGGCCTTTCCTTTGCTGTGGTTGCCAATGATCAGGGACAGTCTAGAATCTTGTCCATCTTTGAGAATGCTAATATCTGAGAATCTTTCCAAGTGTCTACTTGATTGTCTTTTACGTCATCTAGTGTAGTGGTTATGAATCAGGCTGTGAGACGTACGGTCAGCAGTTCTAGACTACCAGCTGTTCCGCGGGAGAAAGATGAGGCTTTCTGCTCCTGTAAAGGTTTACAGCTTCGGAAACCCTGTACATGGTCACTATGAGTCGGAACGTACTCTACGGCACATAACAACAACAAATTTATTGTTAAGTACCAAGAAGTCAGTTCCGACTCATAGTGACCCTGCACAAGGTTTCTGAGGCTGCAAATCTTTATGGGAGCAGAAAGCCCCATCTTTCTCCCGCGGAACAGCTGGTAGTTTCAAACTGCTGACCTTGAGGTTAGCAGCCCGATTCGTAAGCACTACGCTACGACAGCTCAACATTGGAATTATCATTGATAAAAGTGTGATAATGTTATTTGCATACATTTTATTTTTTTAAATAAAAATATGCTATCTTTATGCAATCTTTTATGCTGTCTTGTGTTATCATTTGATTTCTAAGCAGCTGATGATAGAATACCTGATTGCTTGACCTGGCTTTAATGGGTTAATGTGATAGCAGTTTTTTCTTATCACTGACTTTGCTAGAGTCCTCTTAAATCATGCAATTGTCAGACTACACAGTAAAACTCAACTTTTTGCTTCAGCAAACTCAATATACTGAGTTTGTTGTGTGTTTTTTTAAAAAACAACATTAAAAGCTACTATACCCACAGATCTCACCAGATGGCATACACAGAAATCAAATTGACTACATCTGTGGAAAGAGATGATGGAAATGCTCCGTATCATCAGCCAAAACAATGCCAGGGGCAAACTGTGCAACAGACCATCAATTGCTCATATGAAAGTTCAGACTGAAGCTGAAGACAATTGAAACAAGCTAAAATTTGACCTGGAACATTGTTGTTGTGCTATCAATTCCAACCCACAGTGATCCTGTACAGGGTTTCTGAGGAATGGCTGGTGAGCTTGAACAGCTGATCTTGCAGTTCAAAGTGACTTTTCAGTCCAGCACATTAACCCACAGCACCACACCATGACTCTGACCTGGAATATATCCCACCTTAATTTAAAAATCATCTCACCACAGATTTGATGCATTAGACACTAACAGTGAAAGACCAGAATAGTTGTGCAATGACATCAACAACATCATACAGGAAGAAAGCAAAAAACTATTAAGCTAAGGAAGAAAGAAAAGGCAAAAATGGATAACACTTGTTCTCCAGTGTAGAGATGATACCAAAGCAAATGGAAGAAATGTAAATGTAAAAGAGCTTAATAGAAAATTCCAAAGGGCAGTTCGAGAAGGCAAAGTCAAATACTTTAAAGAAAACATTTTATGAAATATGAAAAGACCTGGTGTGAGAAAACCATTGGGGAAGAATACACTCCACATTTCTCAAGTTGAAAACACTGAAGAAAACATTCAGGCTTCTGGCTTTTGAAGGATTGAAGGATTCTATGACCAAAATATTGAATGGCCCAGAAAGCACTAAAAAAGATTGATAGAATATACAGTCACTGTACCATAAGAAATGGAAAATGTTCAACCAATTCAAGAAAGAGCATATGATCAAGAATCAATGGTATTGACAGGAAGAAGTCCAAGGTGACTGGAAGTGAGAATACCAGACACATGCTTACCTGTACTTTATTGACTATGGCTTTTGACTGTATGGATCAAGACAAGCTGTGGACAACATTGCTGAGAATGTACTCATGAGGAGCCTGTATATAAACCAAGAGGCAGTTGTTCCAACAAAAGAAGGGGACACTGAATGGTTTAAAATCGGGAAAGGTGGGCACCAGTCTTTCACTATACCTATTCAATCTGCATATTGAACAAAAAAAATTTGAAAAACTGGATTATATGAAGAAGAACATGGCATCAGGATCGGAAGAAGACTTATTAACCTGTGATATGCAGATGATAGAACCAACCTTGCTTTCTGAAAGCAGAGGAATTAAATTACCTGGAATCCTGGTGTAGCACTGTGGGTTAATGCGCTGGACTGCACTGTCGATTTGAATTGAAAGGTTAGTGGTTCAGGCTCACCAATTGCTCCTTGGAAACCCTATATAGGGTCACTCTGGGTCAGAAAGAACTCAACAGCACTTAACAACAACAACAATTTATGTAATGATGTCCCCTACTGTCAAACTCTCATACTTTATATTGATGTAGAGAAGGAGAAAGGAATTAAACAGGAAGGACACAAAAAGGGACACTTCTAGGAGAATGAATGCCTCCTTT